GCTACCACATTTATTCTAAGTAGCCCATGTGCTCATATAAATTAGAAACAAATAAATCATATTTTAATGATTATTATACAAAAATTACATTATACAAGAAATGCAATTGTTGGTTTATGTGCTTGGAAGTGTGCTTCTAATGAGAAAATATGGTAATCTATCCATGTGGTTCTATTGGAGGTGTGCTTCTAATAGAGAAAATATGGTAATCTATCCATGAGCTTCTATTGGAGGTGTGCTTCTAATAGAGGAAATATGGTAATCTATTTATGTGGTTCTATTGGAGGTGTGCTTCTAATAGAGGAAATATCGTATTCTATCCATGTGCTTCTATTGGAGGTGTACTTCTAATAGAGGAAATATGGTATTAGTATTTCTCACAATTTCTAACTAACTATATGAAATATGAGCATGTCAACTTTTTAAATAGTTATGTTGATGGTTATTAATATTTAGTGGTTCATAAGGTTAATCAGCGGGACTATTTTATCAGCTGTTATTAAATATAAAAAGTGGTGAGGATGTGACCGTTAATAACATCAATCGTGAGGGGGTGTACTAATACTGTAGGGCATGTCATGTACAGATGTTTTTTTACACAATGATGAGTGTTGTTGTTATTATATATTGTGTCCTTTTCATAGCGTGTATACAGGCACGTACCGGTACTGAAAAGTGTAGGGGTGAATCATCCATTTGTGGGGGGGGGGGGGTGTTTACTTCTGCACCTGAAACCTAAATACAACACAAAATTGTGAAATTTGATATTAATGACATTTCTATTTCCAAAGAAGGATATTAGAAGATTATTGTTTTACTTACCTAGGGGTGTGAAGAATACATTTTTTTAGTAACATAAATACACAGTAATCATATCCGCTAAACTTAACACAAAGAAATTGCCATTTACGTGTTATTAATGAATTAATATTTAATTTGAGTACCTTAGAAATATAAATCAATTCTTTTAATAGAAATATATCATAAACATCGGTATGAATGATTAAATTCTTTGAGTATGTAATTTGGCACCATAATTGTTGTATGTCTTCAACAAGGCGACAGTCATTTGAAATATTTATGTATTTTCATTATGTTATCACTTGCATTATCTTAACATCCTTAATACTATTTTTCTGTTTTTTGTGCCGCTGTCGAGCAGAGCCAATCATATGAGTGATTGTCGTCTGTCGTCTGCCGTCTACTTCTTGAAAACTACAAGTCTGATTACTTTGGTGCTTGGTATATACATGTATGTAACTTGGGCAGACTTTGTTCATTTCAGGATGAAATCTTTAATTCTGATAAATATTTTTTGCATTTTTGGCAAAAATATGATATTTTCGTCGTCTTGTTAAAAATTGCAAATCCAATTGCATTGACATTATACATACAGGTGCATCTCTTTCAAATTTGTTCATTTCATGATGATATCTTCTATTCTCTAATTTTGATGATTATTTTTGTCATTTTTAGTAAAAAGTGATATTTTTGACATTTTGTTGAAAACTACAAGTTTGATTGCTTTGATTTTATACATACCGGTAATTGACCCTTCACCTTGCAGCGCCCTCTGGAGCCACAAAACAGTTTGAATTTCAAAGAAAAGTAAAAGTATTTAGCATGAACAAGACATTTTAAAATGTAGTTTTTTGAGCTCATACACCAGTTGCTTTTCAATAATTGCTTAGCAGATTACCGATGGAAAGTGTTAAAATTGAATCAAGTTCAAGCATTTCAAAGGAAACATTTTTATTTGTAGCTAGGAATAGTAAAATGTAATTATGTAGTCTAAAACCAAAATTAATGATTCCCAAGATACAATGGCAGGGCTATGAACTAGACTAGTTCAGTAGAACTATTTTCATAGTCCTCAACTACTTGTATTTTCATTTTTTTTTCTGATGAAATAAACATATAAAATGTATACCTTTAATTTAATTAATCCAGTGACTGCTGTACATGTAGTAGGAATACCCGTCTGGATATATTTACCTTGCTTCACTAACTCACCTTTATTGTTTGTAACCGTCTGTTTATCATGAATCATTAAAAATTTAGTTATTCAAACCGTAGACATTTGCACCTCTGTAATTTACGTAAATATCATGCGATAATAGATTAATTACGGTACTAGGATGTACATTTGTTGGAGAGAACATGTCTCAATTTCTAATTTGCATATCACGTTATAATTGCCTATGGTCCCGCGTATTGGTAAATCAATGCGTGTCGTTCGTGCATGTAACTGAAGGAGACGTTCAGTGCATACGTGATACAATGCACGGATGTGTAATACATACCGATTACCACCTTGAAAACATAGTTAAAAGTACACCAATAATAGTCAAACAATATTTTGAAATTTTTTTACTACTACATGTTTAATACTACATGCATTAATATATTACTTTATCTTGTTGATTTTGTATGAATCGCATGAGTTGTTTTTGTTGGATTTGTATTTTAAGTCGTATCCTCAATGAAAATAATAGTTTTTCAACCAATTAAAGCCTCATCATTAATATTTAATTTTTGTGTGTTTTTTAATCTTTCAGAAAAAGTAGCAATTAAAATCCTTGACAAAACGAAGCTGGACCAAAAAACGCAGCGTTTGTTATCACGGGAAATAAGCAGTATGGAAAAATTACATCACCCTAACATCATACGATTGTACGAAGTTGTAGAGACGCTCGCTAAACTGCATATCGTTATGGAATATGCTCCTGGTGGGGAGCTATTCGCCAAGATATCTAATGAGGGAAAACTAAACGAAACAGAGGCCAAATCGTTGTACGCACAAGTCATTGCAGCAGTTGAACACATGGTAAGTAGTCCTCCTTCAATTATGGCCAAAGATACGCATATATACATTACAGTGAAGGGCATAAAACTGGGATGCTTATAAACTTACATTTTTAATATATCAAAATGATGAAATCCAGAAATGATATTGTGACATCATAATCATCAGTTGAAATTAATATTAATAAGTTAGTTCAATATTATTCAATCAACAAGTGCTTCATTGTGAAAATGTGGGCGGTCACAGTTGCTATGTCACTTGAAGGCATGTGCATCATGCATTATGTGCACAGACAATGTTTACCTCTTGAGCCAATCACTACTGTAAAAAGGTTAATTATTTACTGGGTTTTAATTTTGCTTATTTCGCTGACTGGAAAATCCACTAAATTAAAACCCAGTGAATATATGTAAAATTTAGCATAGAACACATTATCTGAATGATAAAACCATGAATTTAAAACCCACTGAATATGCCTGAAATGGTAAATCAGCGAAATTTAAACCCAGTGAAAATTAGTCAATTCACAGTTTGAATTTGAATGAGAGCTGATATTTGCAAATATTTTATAAAAATGTTTACTTCTGTGAAATTCACGGTGTTACTTATAAGAATTAACTTTAATAAAAAAATTCCAAAAATACAAATGATGGGGAATGAACTTAACTGTTTGCGTATTACGCTTAAGTTAACCTGGTAGTCTGTACATGTACCCATCAGAGAACAATGGTGATAACTAACGAATACATACTTGCTAATTCACTGGGACAAATATGTATAGTAATATTGAAACTAATTATTTTACTTGTTCCAGACTTATTTTACTTACTAATTTAAATACATGTATATATCGCTTAGATATATCTCCTCTCAAGATTTCATATTATCCCGGTACTGTCGTCTAGTCGTATCAAATAGTAAATGATCACCTTCTATTGATAAAAAACGTTCAAGAGTAGCTTTTGGCGATAGCGTCTCATCAGCATGTCATTATATTGAGAGATAAAGGAAGCTGTAACCATGGTAATGTACTATCATCATCTCATCATTACTGTTCACTGAAAGACCTGATCAAGAAGATATCATAGATGATATAACGTAGGCTCAATTACCGCTTTTAAAATGGACACTACTATTTATATACACTGGTCTCATCTTCATGATTGACCAAGTGAATATATGTTAACAAAATTTAAGGGTATTTATTATGATATCAAGGATGTCACTACAACTAACTCACTTGTCTTAAGAACTCAAGAGAAATGTTCACAGCTGCAAAATTCTGAAAATCACAAAAAAACTTGTCTCATATAATCAAGTCAAACTTGAAGGAAATTCCTCTATAAATTTTCTAAACACCCAAGTCAATATTCAAAAAATAAGCCTATGTAATTATTCACATTATTTAAAAAAAAATTCAGATGTATATGTATGAAATTATTTCAGTTGGATCAACACAATTTTGGTGGGAATAATCATGGCCTCCAAAAGGCCCTTTGAATACCATATTTGCATTAGGCTAATTTATTGGTGCATCATTTTGCTAATTTTTATGTATTTTTCTAAAAATTTGTGGTTAATTTTAGACCAAATGAACATAACTTTCCATCAATGATAACAATTTTGTTTGAAATATGGAAAAGATGTGGGTATTTTTTGTAAAAAGTGGCAGTAGTGTACTTCAATGTTCAAAGGATTACTAAATCCTTCTTTTTCACTATTTTTCTAATTTCAAAAACTTATTTTTCACATTGTTCAGCTCTTTTTTTCAGTTATAATTAAGTAATATTTTCAAAAATGCCATGCTGTTAACAATTCAATATGAACATTCTTGCCATTACAAATCATGAATGCAGCAAAGTTTGGTTTCCATGGCAACATTGAATGGCTTCTACAACGACTTTAATCTACTTAATCTGAAGGGAGTCTCTCGTTGTATCTCATTATTGGTAAATTATATACATCAGTACGTTGTCTTTATTGATCACCGTGGTAATGAATAAATTGATTCAAAACTGATGCATATCGTATTCTCTTGATGCTATTTTTTTTTAGTTTCAGAGGAAAACATCTGTTTAATATGCGCATGCGCTGTGGTGATTTGGGCATATTTAGTAGTGGAGACAGAAATGATTATTTCTAATAATGTTAATTATTTTGTGAATTTATTCTTCAATGCTGTCAATATTAAAGCATCACAGTTTATGCGCATTGCATCACTCAGTGTACATCACATTACATTCATTGTGCATCACAGTCAGTATGCAGCACATACAAAACAATCAAAAAATATAAATGCCCTTTTTTTTTACTACATATAAACTATAAAATAGTATATCTGAGGAATGTAATGCAAGTTTTTCTTTATTTTCTCTTGATTATTCATTTGTTAAAACTATGAGTGTTCTCAACTTATTTGAGATGAGACATGAATTTCAGGATCAAATAATGGATTATAATTGTGAACTTTTTCGCGCTAGTTTCATTTTCACAGTAATACTACCCGGATAAATTTGATTTGGTATCCTGCTATTGTAATGGAAAGGCAAAACTCTGTAAGACTTCCTGGAGGTTTCTAGCGTATTACATTGTATATACATAATAGCGTTATAGTTGCAAATGAGACGAACGACATGACGTCGAACAACATGACATCATGTTCGTAATTAAACATGGCAGGAAAACAACACTGAAGTGACTTGTCTGTGATAACATATTTTGCTGATTATTACTTTTATAAAATTAGATTTTCGCATCACAGGAACTCGTTGATTTCATATCCTTGTCATCCTTGTGCATATAGAGTCTGGTTATGACACGTTTGTCATGCTGTTCAGCAGTTATGTAATTTATATCAATAGTAAATCAATGCTAACACTGCAAACATTATTGTGCTAATGTTGTAATTCAAAGAGTTTTTAAGTCCCATTTAGACATAATCTGAAGGCAAGGATAATTTTATCTCAGTGTGGCCATCCGTTCACCCGTTCACACCTATATCTCAGATATGCCTGGGCCAGCTTACTCAAACTTCATCATACTTGTTGTATTACACATACCGGTAATGCATTTGTTTCATGACGACCGTTTTAGTGCTAAAATCAAGCTCCCATTCCCAAACCGGATCTCAGTCATGCATGAACATAATTTGTTCAAACATGGTATGTTCATTGGTTTCTTAATGCACAGCTTTTTTTTTAGCTCCGCTGTCGACTTTGTTGAGCGGAGCTTATCATATGAGTGATTGTCCGCGTCGTCGTTCGTCCGTGTCAATGTTTTACTTTTTCGACTTCTTCTTGAAAACTACAAGCCTGAATGCTTTGATACTTGGTGTATATGTACCTTGGGTAGACCTCTCTTAGGTTTGTTCATTTTATGTTGATATCTTCAATTCTCTAATTTTGGTGAATATTTTTGTCATTTTTGGTAAAAAGTGATATTTTTGACTTCTTGTTAAAAACTCAAGTT